ATGCTGCATCTGGTATAATTTTTATCAATATTGGAGATGGTGATGTTTGAGTCAAAGTCTTGGTTCCAGGTACCCCTGGACGGGAAGAAACCTTTTTCACACTTTTTGACAGAACATTCATAGGGAACAGGCTTTTATAAGCTGAATAAACCTTTCCTAATGTAATCTGACTACAGTTCTAGTGCTATCTTTGACAAAATAATGTTAACATTTTTACTACAACAGATTCATATTTATTTCACAAAAATGAAACTTTTCAGCTAAAAGAAACAAATAAGACATGTTGTTTCAGCACAGAAAATACTTAAAATAACAAACATAAACTATTCCGAGTTAAATCCAGACATTATTCGTATCGAGAAATATTTTCATTGGCAAAACAAAATTGGTCACCGTTTGAACAGTACCGCGGAGGACCAATCCAAATGTGGCTCCTGTATCTTACAAGGGAAGGTTTTTTAGACAATGGTTGAGAATTTGCTCAAAATTTCCATACTTATAGTTTGAGACATGCTCTATACGATGACGAGAAAATTTTTAGCCCGTTCTCACTCCCAGGCCGAAAAACTTTTTCTGAAAATTTGGGCCGATTTCAGTGCGCTGGGGATTTCGACTTCCCCTTCCCTCCTCTACCAATTCCGCGTGAGAGGAAAATATCGGTTGTGTGGTGTTGTGGTAAGAGGGTGACTCATTAGGATTGACTATGCTGGTTCGACCCCCACTATGGTAAAAATTTTTTTGCATTTTTTGAAACTAATTTTTGATTCCAAGTTTGCCCCCCTAGGCACTATATGACACTTTTTGATTAATTTCAAAAGTTTTCAAAAAAAAAAGATTTCATGAGAGTTTGAGAAAAAAAATAGATAATGGTCTTTTCGACCGGTTCTTACATCCTCGTATCGTTAAAAACGAAAATTTCAGTCTCTGAAAGTTGCTCAATTTTGCTCTTTTTGAGGTGGAGTACTGTCAATCGATCACATACAAGATTTGAACCTATTTCTATAGGTTTCAGTTAAGTTCAAGCGATATTTCAGAAATTAGGAACTGTCAAAGTTCTAACAACAATCAGATTTTGAAGATTTTCTGAGCCCAAAGACAATATTGGGCTGAAAAAATTTGTCAGAATGCTATTTTTATCGTTTCTGAATAATTGGAACGTTTTTTCGCACTTTTCAAAAAATTTTCAAAAAATCATTTTCGAAGTGTGGGGACCCCATGGTGATTTTGTTCAAAATTTTTCAAAAAAAACGTTTTTTGAAAATGTTTAAAAGTTACTTTAGAAGATAGAAAAATGTCCAAAAATGAGTTTCGCACTCAAGCAAATCCTGAAAAACTAATTTTTAACCTCGAAAAATGCATGTTTTTGGTCAAAATTTAGTACTAAAAGCACTTTCAGAGGCCATATTTCGGCTCCTTTTGAGAACAGGCTAAAAATGTTTTTAGATTCGGATTCAGCATGTTCGAAAATACCTTTGTACAAATTTTTAGAAAATTCTCAACCGTTGTCTGATAAACCTTCCCTTGTTAGAAGTCTCCTGACATTTGGTAATTACAATCTCGATGCAAAAAAACAAGTTCGGATTTTTTGGGCCATATCCCGGAAGTTGACTTTCATGGGGAAAGTGTCTTAAACTTCGAAAAAAGTGAAACTTAATGGAAAAAAAACTTTTAAAAACTTAATAATTGAATCAAAATGCAACAAGTATTCAAAAATGTCCATAAAAATGTGAATCCTTTTGAGGACCAATACTTTTTTTAAGGACCAAACTTTTTTTAAGGACCAAAATTTTTTGAAGTACCAAAATTTTTTCTAAGGATCAAAATTTTTTCTAAGGATCAAAATCTTTTCCAGGACCAAGATATCATAGTAGAGCCTAAATGTCTATTCTTAGAACTTGGATGCAAACATGGTAATAACATATACCGTCATAATCAAGAATGGGTATCGGAAGATGGGTCAACCGCATACGCTTGTCAATTCGGAAAAATTGAAAAGAAAGGATGTTTAGTGGAATCTTTGTTAATTCCATTATATGCCATTCGATACATTGGCTCTAATGCCTATTATTGTTTTCAAGGAACTCGGGTCAGATCGTTTGGGGATTTGAGTATGACTTATAGTTACCAACTGTATAACAATTTCTAATGCGTTTCTAGAAGGCTGCGTCAATGCAGCAGGAGAAGTTGTTCCGTTCGAAAACAGAGCTAAAAATGGGGATCGTTTGGAGTCTTGCGGGTTCAATTTCAACCGAGACGGAAGAGTGGAGTTCAAGTGGACTCAGGTCGGATGCATTTATTCTAAGGAAGTGGTAACGGTGAACGCAATTCAACAGTTTGGAGAACAATACGTACATTGTGCATTGAATGGAACAAATGGATACATTGTAAAAATAATGACTAAAGAAGAAGTTGAAAAATGGCTAACAGCTACTCAACAGCAATGGAGCAACATTGTTTCTGGTGCGTGCTTTGTTCAGTAGATGTAGTAGATTTCTATTTTATCATAAAAGGGTGTGTCACATATATAATTTTTTATTTCTAAGTTTGATTTTTCGCATCAAACTAACTTTTTTAGGTAATGAAGGAAAAGGAACTGCCGTCAAACGTGAAGTTCCAACTGAGGTTCCATCAACAACTACAACAACCACGACGACTACCACAACTACTACGCCAGCCCCAACAACTACACTTGCGACGACTACCACGCCAGCTCCAACAACGCCCTCAACTTCGTCAACAACCACGCAGACACCGACTACAACCACTTCTACCACTACGACCACTACGACCGATGCTCTCACAACGACGACTACCACGTCTGCTCCAATCACGACAACTAAGCCTCCAACGAAAAAATGTGTAGACTTGGTGGAAGATTGTGAGAAGATGAGAATTTATTGCAATTCTGAAATTGAACACGCCGCATTTTTGAGAGAAGTCATTCAAACGTTTTCTATTAATCAGAAGAACAAATCTAGAATGCTGGAGTTCATCGACCACACTTGGTTAGTTTTTTTTTGGGTACAGTGTCTCCAACAACATTAGCATAGGTTCGATTCCTTTCAGGTTGAACAATCAAAAGTCAGAAATAAATGAGAACAAGGAAAAATGCAATATTGGGAAAAAAGGAGGAAGATGTTGTGGTGGACCAGAACGAAGCTGTCACTGCAAATGTGATGACCAAAAAGACTTCAATAGAAAACTTGTCAAAGTATTGTGCCCGAAAACTTGTGATTCTTGCAATCAAAAAAGTGTGAAAAATACCATTTTCTTTACAGAAAACATATAAAAACGTTTCAGATGATTCCGTTTCTTCATTACTTACTTCGAGAACATCTAGAATTTGTAAAAAGCATCATTGCGACTTTGAGTAGATTGATGTAATTCAATTAAAAATGTGTAACCCTTGTTTATTAAATTGAGATCAAAATAAAGTTTTACAACATTCAACATTTGAAAAATGTTCACCCAGCGGCTTAAATCTCAAAGTCGGGTTTCTAATACTTTTTTTTCTTCACTGTTCAATACGTCGTTGTTTTTTGGCTTCCAAATTCGTTTTCCAACTGTTGATGCACATGTAAGCCAATTTTTTCTAAACAGTTACATGTCAGCAAAATAATTTTTTTTTCAAACCTATACTGCTTGATAACAATTATAGTAATCACTGCATCTAGAAATGGACTCAAGGCCAACCATAGTTGAGTTATGATAATGACATGGCCGTTTGTTAACGGCTCGGAAAGCAGCAGAACAGAGCTGAGAGTCAAGAATGCGGGAACCTTCAAAACATATCTTCATGAGTTATTATTATGTTTTCTTACCTGACAAAAAAGAGGAATTATAGCTTGGGCTAAGGTCGCAATCGCTACTTGTCTGGTTTCAAGTAGTCTTGCTTGGTCATGGAGATTCTCTACCACTTTTATATGTTTTGCTGGAATGAAACATAAAAAAAGTTCAGAAGAAAATACTGACTCACCGACTACACGGAATACCATGTAGTTTGTAGTAAACGCCACAAAGTAAGCAAAAGTAGTAATAAAAGCAAAGCAGTAGAAAAGAATTTTGGCCAAATCGTGATCCACCACACATATCAACTGTAATACTGCTCCATTTCTTGATTATTAGGTATTTCCGTTTACATTAAATCGATGATTAGTAGGCGGATTCACTTTATCTGTCTTTACCAAAAGATTTAAAAAAACTCACATAAAGTATCCCTATCGGAAGCAAATCCAAAAACACGCAGAAGAACAGCGAACGTCTGCCACCGAAGATCTGAAAAGAAACATAACATTTTCCGGATAAACTTGATATTCCCTCACTGTTGTATACACAGACGCGTTGGAAAGTGCCAAAACTCGGCTCAGAGAAATCGGCACAATTGCGCATATCATGGTCCCAAAGGATCCATAAAATGCTAATGTCATGTAATATAAAAACCTAAAATAGCCAATAAAACTCTGCTAATTGAGTGTATAACTTACTGGCTGGGGATATGATGATCATCATTTACATTTATATAGCCCATGAACATAAAAACAGATCCACATAAAATATCCACAACTGCAAGGTTTGCCACAAAGAAACGAAAGTCACCATGAACATGACCGAATGACAACAATATCACTAATAGATTTGTGAATATTCCAGTGACCGCAGAGAAAATCACTGCGATTCCCACAATTGTTTCAAATTCATTCTGAAAAAAACGAATTTTTAAATTTTTATTATTAGAAAAATATACCTCATCATTGCTGTGTCGGAATTGTTCAATTGGGAAGTCAGAAGACGAAAGATTAGCAATGCTTAGGTCCCAATCAAAGTTTTGAAATTTCGCAACGCTCATTGTTCAAAACCTGTAACACGAAAAATGCAGAAAAAGGAAAAATCGAAAGCTGGGGAACAAATCGGGAATTAAAAAATCTAAAGTATTTATTATCAGAAACACGGATTTCCAATCAAATCAAATAAACAGTGTGGAGGAAAACGAACATACATCACATTAGAGAATTGAAACCATGTGGTGTATGAAAAAATCATCAGATTGAGAAAAATTCAGTTCAGTGAAAAACATCAAACAGAAACCGTACATGATGAAAACTGTGGGAAAAGCTGAATTCGACAAACTGTTGGTGCCTTTTTTCAAAAATTGCAGAACAATGCATGGGTCTCCAATATTGACACAATTGAGTGAAATCTGTTCTTTCAATTGGGGGTGCAAGGACAAGTAAATCAAATATCGGGTAACGAGAAAGAGTGGTTATGAATGAGACAAAAACACACACACACAACGAATAACAAAATTCGAGAGGTTTTAGAGATTGTGTATCAAATTTCATTTTTTACGGTTTTTCCATTCTTTTGGTAACAAAGATAAAAGGTGTTTTCACTGCACTTTAGCGGTGTCATTTGGTTTTCTAAAAATGATGCGTTCAGTGCTCGAAAACGCTTTGAAAGGGTGGGAAAAAGAGAAGATGTTGTCTAACAAGTGGGAGGGAGACCCCAGGAAAAGATGCTTCAAGAGGATGGAATTCCAATCAAAATCTCTGAATGCTGTGCCATTTTAGGTATCCCGTTTCATACATTTCAGCAAGAATTTCTGGTTTACTTGGTGTGTGTCTGAGAATGTTCAAACTTACGCAACGATCGCGCATTTGCAGCATTTAAAAGATTTTTCGAATTTCTTGTTTTACATATACGTTACATGAGGGGAAAGCAAGTCAAAACCCGAAATTGTTTGATAGAGTAGAGTGTCCACTTGAGTAATTGGACACATCGAAGGAACATTTAGCAAAGTATCAAACACGGCATATAAAAAAAAAGAAAAACTGTAATTTATAACCACAATTTTATTTTCAAATGAACTTCCAAGATACAAAATCAGTGTAGATTTTCAAAAAAAGTTACAATTGTCATATAATATGTATAGGTATTCTACAAAAAAAATACTACAAAGTCTACGCCATCTATAGAGCAGCAGAAATAGAAGAAAATAAATCATGCGATTGTTTCAAAAAAGAAACATAAACATATTTCAAATGAACAAAAAAACAAATCATTTTGATGAAGAGGCTAAAGACTCATTTGTGACCAAATTGAAAGTCAAGTGTCTTTTTTTGCAACCTGATAATTTTGTGTGTTGAAGAGGGAAAGATTTATCTTGTCCGTATATTGAAAAAAAGAAGATACAAGTGCTAACCTGGCAAATAATGTGCTCTTGAATATGTGTTTGTTTGATTTTGGTCTCGCATAAGTATCGCAAAACAGACAAAAAATTTGAAATATCTGATAGCTAAGAAAAAATTATTTGTGCAAGAAAACAAAACAAAACAATTTGAAATCTTCAAAGGTTCTGACTAGATATGATGTATTTGATTCAGAAAAACAATCTCAAAATGACCTATAATTCAAAGGAAACTCCTCCTCCCTTTTCACACCTGAAGGTGCTGACTACGTTTCCAGATGACATGTGATAATGATAAAAAGCAATGGATCAGGATTAACCCATGAAGTTAACTGAACTTCATTATCGGCCCCGGCTTCTCCAAAGAACACCGCCAGGCTACTCTCCTGGAAAGCGACTATTGTAAAACATGTTTGTAAAAAATTTCTCGAATCATAACTTTGCTTTTTTTCTTTAACAAGAGAAACTATCAGAACGTTGTGCACTACTTAGGAACCTCGTATACAACAAATACACAATACGTACTAGCAAGTTTTTATTCTTTGTAACTAGATAAAATTACCGAAATTCATTTACATGAACATGAAACCCACCGGAACAATGACTAAAAAAACAGGAAAAATGAGAAATACAATAGAAAAATTATGGTTGGACCTGAGCTCAAATTTTAGTCGAACTTAAACCCGAAGGTTTAATTGAATTAAAGCTCAAAAATCTTTCAGGTGAATCTGCTCTGAAAACAAAAGACTGATGTTGTTTTCATTTACATTAACAAAGCAACATGTTGAAATAAACTGCCCTGCGATTAAACAAACTCTGAAACAGCTACGGTCCATAAATTAATTCAGCCTGCTAACATTGATGTGCTGAAAACTATATTGGTACAACTGGTGAATTACTGTTATCGGCATAATGGGCAAATCGACTCACTCTAAAAAATTCATCGTTTTTGAAAATAACTCTTTCCAGAATGATTTTGTGTGATGAAGGTTGTGTCGAGAACTGAAATTCGAAAGAAAATCGAAAATTCAATTGAAAGCCGATTAAACCTACTGGAAACATCATTTTTCTCTAATTGATCAATTTCGTGTCCGGAATAAAATTCGAGTTCGTTCAGTATTTCGCGGAAATTCAAATCAATTTGACTCCACCGTTTGGCATTTTTTTCATTGTTTCTCAGCATATCTCGTCTGTCCGCTCTTTTCTTCTGTTGCAACGCCTGATACGTCGTTTTTTGCATGTCCAACAGCTCCTGATATTTCTTCCGAATTTCTTCTGTTTCAGCCATTCGAATGTGGCTGCTCAACTCTTTTATTGAGTTGACAAGAGGTCCGATATCATCAGTTTCGGTTTCAAAACTGGTAACTTCTTCTGTGCAGAGCTTCTCGTATTCTGCATAGAATGGATTTGCGGGATTCTTTTTCATCTGGGTTTCCATATGACCGCACACAATCTCTTGGCTTTGCTCGATATCATCCCTCCGTTTTCGATACTGCTCGATTCTCATGATTTTCTGTTTATTCACATCGTGAGTTTCCCAACCTAACGTAGTATCAGATAAATAGTCAGCCAAATAACGCCGTTTAAACGCTTGTTCGCGTTTCTTCTTCTGAAACGCTTTGATTGATTCTTGTACTTTCAAATCTAATTCTTCTTGGTCATGAGTTGATGGGTTGAATACAGCCAATTGATTTTCTTTCACAGCTTCTCCAAGCTGGAACACTTTTTCTCGAATCGATCGCATCATTTGCTGGTCAGTTTGTCCAAAGTCCGTTTCCTGATCTTCCTTGAGCCTCTCATATTTTAATTGGGAAGCTTCCATATTAAGACATTGGCGTCTCTGATCAAAACTGTAAAGTTCCATACGACATTGTTGAACCATTGATATCACAATTTTTTTAGCTTCACGTTTTTCAGCATCCGCAAAACTTCGGAATTTTTCATCCACAATGTTGGTTGGCAAAGAATGAGTGATGGCCATTTGCATGAGGGATAGAGCACGGCATTCATTAGACAAAAACTTCGGTGCAATCTCGCGTGAGTACACATAACCACCATCATTGCACAAGTGAAATACATTCTTCCTTATCGGCATTGATTTCGCATCCTCAATTTTCAACTTTTCTTTGGATTTTTCCTTAGATGTTGCTTTCAAATATTGTTTCATAACTTTTTCTAAGCCAATATCTTCGCAGCTTCTAACAAATTGAGCCTTTTTAGCTTTCAGTTTCTCTTCAGACATAGCAATAGATTCAGCATCTGCATCAGATTCTTGTAATCGTTTGAGTCTGTCTTTTTCCACGTTCATGGCATCTCCTTCTATATAGGTAGTGATCAAGTCGATTCTCGATTGTTTACGACATTCGCTCAACAGTTTCACCTTGGCTTCACTTAAGATCAACAAATGTTCCGTATCCTCTATCGACAGATAAACTTCTTTCAGTTCTTTTGTTTCCTTGTCAAAATTCTCGTGCAACTGACAAGCGTGGTAATAGAGAACTTGCAGCCTTGCAACAAACATGCAAACATCGATATAGGCATCATGAAGATCGAGAGAACAAGTCAGCGATTTTGTGCATTTCGCGATTATTTCATGGGCATCAACTTTCTCTTGGACGGTTTTGCTGGTGTCGAACTTTTTCGCAGCTTTTTCCCATGTTGTGATCATTTCTGCTAATTGACAATTCCTATGTTCATTTTTCCTCGCTACATAAGTTGCTGAGCGCATTTCCAGTGCATTTAATTTCAGGTGACATATTGTTTTTGGCTCCAAAGTTGTACCCTTTCTTGGACGAGAACCACTGCCAATCTCCAATCGCGATCGTAGTTTCATAATGTCACGACAAATTTGAATTGCCTCTTTTCTCAATTTCGGATGAAGAATCTTTCGAATTTTATTGGAGAACAATCCTGAGTAAGTGTCAATCGTTGTGAGCCTACTGTCAACCATTTCAGACTTGGTTTGCTGGTTTATTCTCTGCGTAACCTTTGTATTCCACGCTTTCCATCGTGAGGTACTATCTAAACCAGTTCGATCAACACGGAAGTTTAGCACATTTGTGGAATGAGAAGTAACGCGTCCCGTGCTCTCTTCAAAACAAGCGTCACAACAATCATCAACCACTTCATCGAGCACATCGTTTATTTTTTCCGAGTAAATGTTTTTTTCTTCTTCGATAATTGTCTCCATCATAATTTTCAGCAAACTTGGAGCTTCCTTTTCATCAAATAACATCTTGTCAAACGTGATTAAATGTTTCTTGAAATACTTCAAGAGTTGAACAATTTGTACACCTTGGTTCATTTTCAGCCATTTCCTTGTTTTTTCAGAACTGCGTTTCTTGGCCAATTTTACTTTTGCAATCGGCTGACAAAAATCAATTGTTTTCGGAATAATATGAACGCTGTTTTTGAGCAGTTTCCGAGGCAATTTTGGGGCAACTCTCCGCAAAGCATTTTCCATTGGCTTCCAAGGGGCAGGTGGTTCAAATGGCGTTTCCGCGAACACAACCTTTAGTTTTCGTGGACCTCGTTTTTTGGCAATTGGTGGCACAAATTTGAGAGCGGCTTTGGTGATGACTTTCGGGACGTATGGGACCTTAAATACATTAAAACTTTAAGATATATTTGCCGAAATTCTTTACCTCTTCTTGTGTCTCATCTCTATTAACTTGGTCAATGTTTGCGGCTTCATTCTCCTCATCATCGGTATGATTATTTTGTCGTTCAATCTTTTTGTCATTTTGATACATGAAAATAGGTACTAACGGTCCCGTATCATCAGTCCAAACTGGAGCAGCAACAAATTTCGGTGGGTACTCATAGATGTTCAAGGTCAGCGGTGTTCCTGATGTTGCAACTGCAGTAGCAATTGGTGGAGGAGGTAACTCGTCGTCAATTTCCTTTATCGGTGGGTCCTCATGATGAGATAAAATCGAAATAGGTAACATTCCCGCAATAGTCTCACTAGTTGGATGAATTTGCTCGCCGGTGTGAGGATTGACTCCAGAAAATAGCCCACTAGCATCCATGTGTGCCATTGATTGAAGGAACACCCGGTTACCAGCAAAGTCAGCTTCTTCGAACAAGTTCGATGGTTTATTTGCTCTTTTGGTATATTTCCTCGGTGTTTTCTGAAGTGAATATGTTTTCAATTATTCAGTTGGTGCATACTCTTACTTTTGATTTCTCTTTATAACTTTCTTTCTCTTTATCTCTTTCTTGCTCTTGTGCATCCACCACTTTTTGAGCTTCAATTGCGTTTAGCAGATTTGTCGGTAGAGCTTGGAGTAAAGCCAAACGTTCTTTTTCGGAAGTTTCCTCGTCCTCTTCTTCTTGTTTTATCTCTGGAAATGTGCTCGATTCTTCTTGCTGTTTCGAAGCTGCGAGAAAAAGACGATCACAAAAGCAGAACAAAGGAATATATAATCTTACTTTTTGATTTTTTTTTTGCTCCTGGCTTCGAACTTGTATCTTTTGGTTGTTTGGGAGTTGACGGTTTTCTGTGCTGTTTTGGTTTTGGCGGAGCCGGTGGCGACGGCGGTGGAAGCTGCGGCGATTGCTCTGTTGGGAACATTAATTGCTGTTGTAGCAACAATAATGCTTCCTGAACTTGATCTTGAAGGGATACTGGAACTTGAACTTGAGCTGGAACTTGATTTTTGCGAGGCCTTCCTCTGACTTTTTTGGGTGGTGAAGGGCTGGAAACAAATTTGATTAAATTTAAGAGTTGTATATTTTTTCTCACTTTTCAGTATCAAGAATTTCTTGCTTAATATTCATCGCAAGTTGATTGAAATTGAGCAGTTCTGATTTGACCCCTGAGGTTACGGACTCAATGTTGGGAAGCTTCACAGATGAGATGTTGGAAACTTGCATTTTCTCAACTTCAGAAACCCTCCCGGAATCTATTGCAAGATTTTTTGTAGGCTCCATCCTAGGAGCTTTCGTGATCATTTGTCTAATTTTATGATCAAAAGATTCTACACCGGGGAAGAATTGGAACGACGGGTTGGCAACTGTTTCAATTGTGGAGCCAATGGTGTCTGCAGTTTGGGTTTCCTCCTGAATGAGAGAATAGAGTTGAGATAATTGGTAGGGACCGTCCGGCTCAAACACTTGCTTCCTTTCTCGTTTGCGAGGCGGCGCTTCGGAAGGCTGTAAAAATTGAAGATCATAATTGAGCAAAAAGTCATCATCCTATAGATAGACTCCACTCACCACTTCTTGCACAGCTACTTGCCGCATATTTTCTGCTGGGATAAGGACTGAAATTTGATTGGAACTAATCGGTAACGCTGTAGCCGGAGAAATTTCAATGGAAGGTGTATCGCAACTAGGTAACTGTGTCGTGGTGTCATCAGAACTTTGATTTTTCCGAAGAATATTCGGCTTTGTTGGTGTAATTGGTTTTCTTCCTAAAATTAACTGTTTTTCCTCATACTTATTCTAATTGAATTACTAAATCAAGGAAAAATGAAAAAAAATTACCTGCAGAGTCGAGTTGTGTTTTCTCCCCCAATCGAGTAACCTCCGGTTGAGCAGCGGCGTTGGCTGATTGTTTTGAAGGAGGAGGAAGTGATTGAGATCGTGAATCGGTAGTTGTTCCAGAAATAGCTGGAGTTTGCAGTAGATTATTCGGTGATTGTTGTGGGGAACCTTGCTGCTGTGGCATGTGCTGAGTGTGATCATAAGATTGTTGCATATTTGTCAGGTTCGGTTTCATTTGTGGAGACTGTGGAAGTTGCTGACGTTGCATGAATTGTTGTTGAGAAATTTTTTGTCGTTGTATTTGTAGTTGCAAGTGGTGCTGCATTTGGTGTTGCAATTGCTGTTGCAAATGTTGCTGCATTTGTTGAGCGTGCAACAATGGAAATTGAACCATACCCTGCCCTGGAACATGCATGAGATGATTTTGCATGCTCATCGCCATCGCGTGAGAAACAGGTGGCATTAAATTGTGTGGATGATTTCTATGTGATGGATGATAGACAGGCTCTTGTTGAATCTTGAAATTATTTAATGTGAGGACTTCAATTAGCTCGCGTTTTACCTTGACAGGTAGCAAATGCTGCTGTTGGGCATTTCTCGGAATGGAGTGACTCTGTGATGGCATGTAGTGAATCTGGTGAGGTAAGTGTGAATTGCCTCTGCCTCTTGTTACTGGTCTTCCTCTTGTGGATTGCTGAACAGTTTTAATGAAACAAAGATTCATCGGATGTGGTGAAATATTCACAGACAAGTGTGTCTCCAAGGCTGTTGGTTTGCTCATATCAATTATTCTGGAAACTAGGTAGCCCCCATAAAACTCACTCTCCAATTACTTTTCGAATTAACTACTGGCATCACTTGCTGTTCTTGGTTTGCTTCACTCGATCCTGATTCTTGTGGAGATCGATCAGAAGTTGATGTTGTTGTGTCTTCTAATTGTTCTTCCTGTAAAAAAACTGAACATGAGAACGTTGTGATTGTCAAACTCACATTGCGAGGAGGTGGTTCGTTTTCCATATAATATTTTCCAGTTGCCTGATCCTTGTACCATCCCGAAGTCAGAATATCACGAACGGAGGTACCGTGAGGAAACTTTTTCTTAAACTCGTCGATATCCATCGTTTTCGCTGCAAGTGCCGTATCCACTCTTTCTTCATTCCCGGTGAGTACTTGCTGATTTCGGGCAGCCGGTGGCGCTGTTGAACAGTTTGAAGAACCTTCTGATGTGAGCGGAACTGTCTGTTCTGATGTGGTTGGTTGCGGTTGCGGCGGTACTGATTGCGGTGGAGGTGGCGGAGGTGGTGTCGGCAAAGGCGGCGGTACTGTTGCAACAATTTTTGGAAACTGAAATTGCTTGCGGCTCTTACGAGGGATGTACGGTTTATATGGGCGCGGAGGTTTTTGTGGAACTTCTAAACCACTGAAACATTCTGAAACTCCAGATGGACGACGCTCTGGAGAAGGGCGAAGCGGATAAGGAGCTCCGTGCGGCATGGTGAACCTTCGATTAAAATGTAATCCAAATCTTTGAGAAAGTATTGGCGTTACTCGAGCACAACCGTTTTGAGATTCTGGAGGCTCGTCCGATCGGTCTGAAAATTGAAAGTTCTGGTGAATATGATGGCAAGGAACAGTTGGCTCTATCGGCAAAAAATCTCTTACACCTCGTTTAAGCTTATTGAAACAGTGTTAACATGTTCATAATCTGTTCTAATCCACGTTGAAGACATTACAGGCTTCCAGACATAATATACAAGATTTTATGAACCGAATCATCTATTTTTACCTTCGTACTTGTTTCAACAACGCAGTTTTCATTCAAAGGACAAAGAACTTACTTAGTAACATGTCAGCACCGTTGATACCATGTTGCACTAGAGGATTGTGTGATGTACTCAAACTTCTGCCTGTACCGAACTGATTGTAGGAGGCTGGAAAATAAGAATTGATAAAAAGGAAGATTTAAACTATAGAAGAAATATGTGAGGATATTTGTTATAGAAATTTAAAAAACGTTCTTATCATTGGAAGCGTGTGGACTCGAAAATTGATAGAAACACGCCGTTCTGGTATTTTCTTCAGATGCTACAAGCGTGGAATAGAAACGTGAAGAACATGTGGCGCTTGCAATCTTTCAGCCCGCCTACTTTTCCCTGCGCGCCGCGACTCCCTAAAAAGAAACACTGTGAAAGAGAAGAGGGTTTAGGAAAAAAAGGAAAATGTTCTGATGAGAACGTGGAAACCCAACTTTCTCAAAATGACAATTGTTTGCATCAAAAAAGTTTGAATAATGTGTTTCGAAATTTTGAGTAAACGTAGAGTCAAACTTAACGTAAAATAAAATGAATGATTTCGAAAATGGTAAACAAACTTACTGTTAGGCATTACAATACCACGGTTCCAGTAGTTGTTATATTTGAGTTATATTGCTGGACACGGGAAAACCCAACAACGAAAATAACTGAAGATGTGGACACTCTCTAATCGCAAGCCCGAGATTCAAACACACGTATACACCAACAGAGGCAGTCCGCAATGAAATGCAGCCGTCGACGCAAGAAAAAAAATAGTGGGAGAAACAGGAGACATTTGAAGGTGGCAGCGCATAAGAGTAGGGCTATTTGCCAGACGAGTTAGAGAAAAATACAAAAAAAAAAGAAACGAAGCGAATTCAAGAGAAACAAGAATGACATTGAACTGAAGAAATAGAAGCAGACGATGAAGAGAATATAATAGTTATTTTTAAACACTAAATCGATAAAAAATGATTAATTGAACAAAATCATAAACTTAATGAGAAATAAACGGGCCAGGGCTGGGATTTTACGTTTACGGATTTCACGGTTTTTACAATACTTGTAAAATTTTGGGCCAGCCCGCCAAAGCCCGGGCCTGAGGAAAATTTCAAGGCCCGGGCCCGGCCCGGAAGGCCCGGTAGCAAAAATTTTGTCATTTTGAACTGAATTTTGAGCTCTCAATACAATTTTCTATTTTTTTTGTGTTTTTTGGATTGTTTGTCTGTTTGATCAAAAAATATCAAAAAAAAAATTGAAAAAAAATTTTTGATCGAAAAAAATCACATAAGGGTCCCCCCTTATGTGTTTTTTGGAATTTTCAAAACTTGTGGAATGACAGTCCGTAAAAACCGTAAAATTAGCAAAATGACGGGTTTTGGCAAGCAAAACCTAATTTTTTCAAGTTTGGCGCTATTTCAAATATGTAACTTTGCGAAACATCAACTCAATAGTTTGAAAATCATGCATTGTCACACATTACCGAAGTTTTTTATAAAAGGCCCAAAAATTCCTTTGACAATGCGATCATCGCGCAATAGTGGAATTTTAAAATTCTTGGTGATAAAAGTGTGACATTACATAATTTTCGAATTATTTATGAAGTTACATACTTGAATGAGTGCCAAACTTTGAAAAATAGGGTCTGCTTTCCTAAAACATCCATTTTGCAAATTTTACGGTTTTTACGGACTTTGCGAAATTTTACGGATTTTATATCCGAAAATTTTACATTTTACGGATTCCGTAAAAAAATTTTTACGTTCAGCCCTGAACTGAAACGGGTTCGCCGAACAATGTATTACAAAAAAATTCAGTTGACAAAAAAAACATTCAAAATTTTGAGGTCAGAAATAATAAAGATTAAAACCAAATTTTATTACAAAAAAGACTTTTGTAGGATTTCTGATTCATATCAAACGTTCTCACACCTTTGTGTTGTTTTCATGTTATGAGAATCGATTGGTGAATAAAAAACATGTATTCATAGATACAATAATCATTGAGGCGTGACACGAAGTTTGTTGAACTTTGAAAAGTTTTCAGAGTGTTTTCAGATTTCAGTTTACACTCCCAATAACAAAGTGTGAAAGTTATCTATTTTAGGTTTCAAGACAAAACCTGAAAGAAAAAACTGCCACGGCCAGAAAATGTAAAAAATGTAGATGCATTTTGTAATTTGCCTATCAGGGATGTTAAACTATTTGCGGTTTAAAAGAAACCGCTTGCGGACTGTACAGAATTTGTATGAGTGTCTTATTACCTAGTACTGTTTTTTGACAGGTATTCAGGTGCTATTGTCGGAACTTGAGTTCGAGATTTGAGCTCATTCAGTCTGTTTTGTAGACATTGGGCTCCAGTATAAGACAAAAGTACCAAACAAACCTGTGTATTTCGAATAATTTGAATTAGCTTTTTTGATCCTTCCAGCGTGGTTTATACAACCACTTTCATGATCACCGATCTTGGAACCGGCTGTACTAACTTACAAGGGTTGCAAAATGCATTGACTTCTAGAGGTAACTCTGGTAGTTGTCGAGCTTTCATCACAGAAATTGTTTTCAAGATGGAATTTGTGATATAAAATCAGATTTTTAAAAATATAGATTGATAACTCTGACGGTTCAAAAAGTATTTTTGTGGTATATTTAGCTTGCTAAATTTACGAAATGTCTT